TCAAGCTCTCCACCGAGAACGTGAGTCTGCGGCCCCGGGGAGGGCTCCTCGGCGCGGTCCCTCTCACACCGCCTCGGGCTGGCTGTGCGTGCGAGGGTTTTAAACTCCTCGAGCCTTGGCTACGCGGTTATTCTGCTCCCAAGCCCTCTAAGGCACATCCCTGAGCCAAGCCAGGGCCAGATCTGGGCTCCTGTCGCTGCCCCCCCAGCAGTAAGGAAGCAGGATGTGGTGTCTCAGAGCATATCCCCTCTGTGGATCTCCCCTGGGGTGGGGGTTTGGACATCTCGGCAGGTGTCGTGTGCCAGGGGATTGGTTCTGAGCTGTGCTTTGTTTCAGAAAATCACCACGAAGAATGCCTTTGGCTTACACCTGATAGATTACATGACTGACATCCTGAAAAGGAAGGACTCTGATATGACCAACTTCAAGGTGAGAGGAGTCGCTGCCTGCTCACGGTGGGGCTTGGTGCCCTGAGGTTTAGTCCATAACAAACCTTAAATGATGCTGAAGGTGGCAGAACTCGTGACTTCCACTAAAACTATCTGGTAGAGGCAGCACAGTCCCTTTTCATAGGAGTGTTAGTGTTGAGTCCTTTTAGAACAAGAATTAAAGGCTGAATTCTTTCAGTTTTGGCCCTTCAAAAGCAAAGCTTGCTTAAAAATAAGACTTGTGAGGCTTATAACATAAATACCAGGTGTCCCAACCAGGGACAAAACAAGGCTGGAGAAGAAGAGAAGTCACTGTGGGTAACTCCCAGTCTGATTTTGATCTGGAATGGGTCAGAAGAAGAACTTGAAGGGACAAAGAATGTCACAAAGACTTGACACTGCCAGTTGACTGATGCCAGGAGGGAGAACCGAGTTCTTGGGTGACTCAACAAGTGGCAGAGCTTTTGACTGCAGCCTCCCCTGTGCTGCTTGGTGGCACTGGGGGAGGGATGGGAAGCAGTGTGCAGGTGTTCACACCTGTGAGAAAGGGGTTGGGGGGTCTCTGATCAGAAAGGGCACGAGGCACTTCACCTCTTTGGCCTTTGCCATTTGGGCAAAGAGAGCGGTGCCGAGGGGATGACCCCAAAGATGGCATGAAGGAGGGAGGTCCCTTGGCAGATGCAAACCTTCACCTTTCCCCTCCCCCCTGCTTCACATTGTCAACTTCTCCAGTAGTCTTCCACGTGATCCCTTCCAAAAAAACCTGCCACAGCAGACTGTAGGCTCTGCCTGGGAAGACACAGACTCTGTCAGCCCGTGGTTGACTCTGCTGCGCCCCGTGGTCTCCAGCAGCGTTCAGACTAAACCCTTTCCCAGCTGGCCCGTTCTGTTTGTGCCACAGAGCACTCAGAAGTTCAGTTCTGTGCCTCATCTTTGGCATTTGCACCTTCTGAGGCTTTTTTTCCTCTCTCTCACCAACATCTGCCCCTCGTGTCCCCCCTCAGGTCGCGGCCGGCACGCTCGACGCCAGCGCCAAGATCTACTCCGTGCGTGTGGACGCCGTCCACGCAGACACCTACAAAGTCCTGGGGGGCCTGGGCAAGGAATCAGCACCCTCAGAGGACACAGAAAACCCAGCAAGAGGTGCAGCTTTCCCTCGTTTTCTGCCAAGTTCTTCCCATTCCAATTGTGCCAGGCCAACGTCGCTGTGCTCACAGAGCACCCGGGAATTTCCTTGTCCATCCTGCAGGGTGCTGCCAGCTTCAGAGTGTGAGGGCCAGGAAATCCCAGATTAGTCTGCCTGGGTTATTGAGCATGGAGGGTTGAGATCACAGAATTATTCTGGTTGGAAAAGGCCTCTGAGATCACCAAGTCCAGCCCCCCCCCAGCACTGCCCCGTGTCCCTCACCCCACATCTCCACGGCTTGGGAACCCCTCCAGGAGTGGGGACTCCACCACTGCCCTGGGCAGCCTGGCACAGCCCTGGGCAACCCTCCAGGGCAAGAAATTGTTCCCCAGGGACAACTGAAACCTCCCCTGGGGCAACTTGAGGCTGGTTCCTCTTGTCAAGTCACTTGGGGAGAAGACATCTCACCCCCCCTGGCTCCAGGCTCCTGTCAGGAGCTGTGCAGAGCCAGAAGGTCTCCCCTGAGCCTCCTTTGCTCCAGGCTCAGCACCCCCAGCTCCCTCAGCTGCTCCTCCCCACACTTGGCCTCTAGACCCTTCCCCAGCAGCTCCGTTGCCCTTCTCTGCCCACGCTCCAGCCCCTCAAGGTCCTGCTGGGAGGGAGGGGCCCAAAACTGCCCCCAGGATTTGAGGGGTGCCCTCCCCAGTGCCCAGCCCAGGGGGACGATCCTGCCCTGCTCCTGCTGGCCACACCAGTGCTGACCCAAGCCAGGCTGCTGGTGGCTCCTTGGCCCCCTGGGCACACACTGGCTCACAAGATGTTAAGATCAAATGTAGTCAATATAAAGGAATGCAGCATCCAAGCCATAAAATCTGGGTGGTTCCTGCTTGTAGATAGCTACCTGGTAACTTCCCTGCTGGGTCTAACTGACATAGAAGTTGCACTCTCCCTCTGCAGGTTTTTTTAGCAGGTTTTCCAATTGCCACTTTGTTCTTTCCCTTTCAGAAGCCAGCCCAGCTCCTGAGGCTGTCAAGAAGGTTCAGAAGAAGAAAAAGTACTCCTTCAAAACCATTGAGCAGAACCTGAGCAACATCAACGTGTCGGAGGCGAATCGCAGGGGTGAGGTGGGTGCAGGGGGCTGCTCCAGTGGGTTCTGGAGGAAGGGAGATGGCACCTCATCCTTCCTGTGTCTGTTTTCATCTCCTGCATGATCCTCCCTTGGGCTTTGATGTTCACACACACATCTGTGGATTCTCTTCCAGCAAGGGTGTTCTGGACACGTCTGTTCCTGCTGTGAGAGCTCTCTCCTCACTTGAAAAAGACACATGGGTCCTTCTCCCTTTAGATCTGCACTGCAGAGCCCTCCTCCACCCTCCATCAACTCTGCCCCTTGATTCTTTGTCCTTCCATCCCTGCAGGTTGACCCCATATTCCAGAAGACAGCCATGTCTTTTGATGAATGCAGCACAGTTGGCATTTTCCTCAATGAGCTGCACACCTACGGCTGCCAGAGCGAGCTCCTCTTCGAGTTCAAGCTCATTCCTCTCCCTTTGTCAGAGGCACCCACACTGCCAAGCTCTGAGCCTCTGAAAGTGATGGATTTGAAGTGTGAGTGACAGTAATCACACAGCAAAGGGACCCACCCAGACCTTTCAATCCTTTTCACACAATCTCAGCATGGTGGGGTGGGAAGGGACCTCTGGGGATCATCTCATCCCCCCCCTGCTCCAGCAGCTCACCCCCAGCAGGGTGCCCAGGGTCACAGCCAGGAGGGTTTGGGATCTCTCCCGAGCAGGAGACTCCACAGCCTCTCTGGGCAGCTGCTCCAGGCTCTGCACCCTCACCCCAAAGAAGTTTCTCCTCCTGCTCAGGTGGCACCTCCTGGGTTCCAGTTGGTGCCCGTTGCCCCTTGTCCTGTGGCTGGGCACCACTGAGCAGAGTCTGGCCCCAGCCTCTTGCCCCCCGGGGCCCTTTAGCTCTTGCTCAGCACTGCTCAGATCCCCTCTGAGGCTTCTCCTCTCCAGCTGACCAGCCCCAGGGCTCTCAGCCTGTCCTGGCACAGAGATGCTCCAGCCCCTCAGCAGCTCCACAGCCTCCCCTGGACTCTCCAGCAGCTCCTGGTCTCTCTGGCACTGGGGAGCCCAGAACTGGCCCCAGTGCTCCTGAGGTGCCCTCACTGGAACAGAGTGGTCGTGTTTCATCTCCCAGGAATGCTACTTTTAGTCTCAGCCTGCTTGACTTGTGCTTTTAGTCACTGCTTGGCTACCCAGTTGCACCACTGCTCTGATCCTGCTCAGGTTCAGACTGGGTGCTGGAAAAACAGGACTTTTGTAGGTTTTAGGTCACTATGCATAGCTTAACTTCTTGCAGAGCTGTCAGCCAGCATGTACACATGGTCTGAGCTGTACAGCAGCTGAGATGAGTCTGCTCCAGGTTAAGGACCAACCCTGGAGTGTTTTGAGCATGTACATGCCACCAAACCCCCCTGCTCTGGTGAGATTCCCAGTGTCACTGCCCAGGGTAGCAACTGAACTCTCCTGTTCTGAGATCTCTAGAGGCCAAGTGTGGGGAGGAGCAGCTGAGGGAGCTGGGGGTGCTGAGCCTGGAGCAAAGGAGGCTCAGGGGAGACCTTCTGGCTCTGCACAGCTCCTGACAGGAGCCTGGAGCCAGGGGGGGGTCAGGCTCTGCTCCCAAGGAACAAGCAAACAAGGACAAGAGGAAATGGCCCCAAGTTGCCCCAAGGGAGGTTGAGGTTGTCCCTGAGGAACAATTTCTTGCCCTGGAGGGTTGCCCAGGGCTGTGCCAGGCTGCTCAGGGCAGTGGTGGAGTCCCCACCCCTGGAGGGGTTCCCAAGCCATGGAGATGTGGTATGAGGGGCACAGGTTATTCCCTGGCAGTGCTGGGGGGGTGGTTGGACTTGGTGATCTCAAAGATCTTTTCCAACCCAAACCATTCCACTATTCAATGACATGAGCCCAGCTGCTTTCTGCAGCCAGCCCTACACGTGAGGACTGCCAAGGTACAAGGGTTTAGGACTGATCTAATGCCTGGCACACGTTTTAGGTGCTGGTTGCTTCCTCCCATGCCTGACCTCTCCCCCTTCTCTCCTTCCCTCTAGCCCTGCTGCAGCAGTGTGTGGAGAAACGCCCCATCTGCTCCTCCCTGGCTGGTTTCCAGTTCACAAACTGGGATGCTGAGTCCCACAACGAGGTACGTTGGGAGCTCGGGGGGACTCCAGCCATCTTCTGCTCGCCCCCTAAGATGGGTAGGGCAGAGGGATGTGGAGCTGCTGGTATCCTGCAGCTTCAGTCCTGAGCTCTTTCTCCTGCAGTCAGTGTCAGCCCTGCTGGATAAATTCAAGAGGAGCGACCAAGTGTTCGACGTCCACGCGGAGGCAGACAGTGATGAGGAAGGCTCCCTCCCCACCCCGCCCCACGACGACTTCCACCCCGACTCCAAGCTTGGAGAATTCCCAGAAAACCCCAGCTCCTTTGCAACAACCTGCCAGAGCAGGTCAGTAGCCCCTGACAATCCCCAGCTTTGCTCTGGTGGCCAGTGCCAGCTGCTGGGAGCTCTCTGGGAATCTTTAATCTTCTGTCTACACGTTTCCCACCCGACTTATCACCTGATTTCACTCCAGTTTTGGGCATGTCCAGGAATTCATTACAGTAATATCTCCACCCTCCAAGAGCATCTTGTCCTCAGCACAGTTGCTCCTCTGCTTACTTTGCTCTCCCATCTCCAGTCTGCCCTTTGACAAAGCCACCCTTATTTTGGCACCAGCCTCACGTCCTCCAGACACCACTCACTGACTGGAGAGCCAGAGTCCTGCGTGCAGAGGGAGTGGTGAGGCATTGGCTCAGGCTGCCCAGGGAGGTGGTGGAGTCACCATCCCTGGAGGGGTTTAGAGACCAGGTAGACATGCTTCTTGGGGACATGGTTTGGTGCTCATGGGAGCGTGGGGTTGATGGTGGGACTTAGAGACCTTGGAAGTCTTTGCCGACCTGAATGACTCAACGTCCAGAGCTGACCTGAAATTCCAGTGCACGCTCTGCGTGTGCAGGAGGACTGATGGCACTGAGCAGTGTGTGTGTGCTCCTTCCAGGACTGGCACAGCCTCTCTGGGGGATGGAGACATCGGGACCATGTGCCTCCACCTCTCCAGCAGGCCAGGGGAATACTCCTACTTCAGCCCCCGCACGCTCTCCATGTGGGCTGGCCCCGAGCACTGGCGCTTCAGACCTCGACACAAAGGTGAGTGTTTGGGGACAGAGCCTCCCATGCTGCAGCTGCCAGGTCCTTGCCTTTGGAGACGGGTGGCACCCGAGTCAGAAAGGGGACAGCAAAGGAGGGGACAAGGCCACGAGGCTCTGGGATGGGCTCAGAGATCAGCCGTGTGCAGGTGCTCAAAAGTTGAGAGCTGCAGAAGAAGGAGCTAGAAGCACTTCTACAGCTCCTGCTGTTGTGTTCCCATCTTCTGCATTAAACCTGAGATGAAATGGGTTTAAAGATTTCTATCTAAATGTGTTCACACACTTTCTGCTTCTATAAAAAGATACAGATCCCTTGAGAGCATGAAGCTGAGAGCAACACCTATCGCTTTCCTGTAACACAGGGAAAAGTCCTTCTAGGTGACCTTTCTGCTTGGAGCAGATGCTCAAGTCAGGAGTGAGCTTCTTGTCCTTCCTCTGTCACAAAGCAGTGACAGTTCCCTTCCTCCCTGCAGGAGATGGTGACTCTGAAAAAGAGACCAAGAAGAGGAAGGCAAAGGAGGCGTTTGAGCTGAACTTTGAGGAGGAGGTTGACTTTGAGGTGTATTTCCGCAAGACCAAGGTGGGTGCTGAGTCTCTGCCTCTTTCTGCTCCCTCTTCTGCCACGTGGAGTCACAGAATCATTCTGGTTGGAAAAGACCTGTCAGATCATCAAGTTCAACCATTAGCCCAGGGCTTCAGGTCCCCACCCACCTGTGTCCCTCACCCCACAG